CCCTCCCCCCCTCCCACCCCACTTCCCCATCCAGACTACCTAGCTCAGCTCGGCAGCCTTTTTCTTTCTTTATTTCCCCCCTTTATTTTTAAACCATAGGTGAAAACGGGACCCCCCCCCCCCGCACCTCTGCTTCTGGGTCACATCTCAGCATGGAAACGCTCTGTGTCATGATCTGGGCAGCTTCATTCCCTGCCCAAGCTATACCCCCCCACACACACACCATGCATGCAGGGTGACCGAACAGCCTCCAGGGGGTGGCCACCAAGTCGTTTGCACATTTCCTGTGACCTAAAACCCCCTGCAGTGGTGACCTTGGGCAAATGATCCTTCTGACCTTATAGGAAATTCAGATCTACTTCATACAGGTCAACTCTAGAATGGCCAGACAGCTCCAAGAAGCCTGAGTTTCCCTCCCACCATTGGCTTGCTCTTTATATAAATGATCCTTTGGTACTCAGGGGTGAGAGATTTTAACCACCTGGCTTGTGGGACAGCAGTGGGCTCCTCCACAGGTACTGAGTGGTGAAGGAGCCCCGGAAGTAGCAGGAGGGGCCACAAGGGAGTGGGCGGGGCTGGGTAGTGCACAGAGCTGGTTCCAATACCAGCTTCCTGTGGTGGTGGTGGTGGTTTCCCCAAACCCCAGCTCTATGACCTTGGTGAAGGGGTTAACTCCCTCAGCCCCAGGCCTGGTTCACTATCACAGGATGTGTGTGTGTGTGTGTGTGTGTGTATGTATGTGTGCTGGGGTTGGAACTCTGGGCCTGGGTGCTGTCCCTTAGCTTTTTTTTTTTTTCCACTCAAGGCTGATGCTCCACCACTCGAATCACACTTGTCCTTCCGGCTTTTTGGAGTTGATCATTGGAGCGTCCAGAGACTTTTCCTGCTCTAGCTGGCTTTGAACCTGGGCCCTCGCTCCGATCTGCGCCTCCTGAGTAGCTAGGATCCTGGGCCTAGCCTGGGATTTATTAATGACAAGACTAAGGACAACTTGGCTGCCCCCCCCCAATCAACAACATTGGGCCCCCCCAATTTCCAGCTGAACCCACCACCCGGTCCCCCCCCATGTCCCCCAGTGACCCCCCCCTGCTGACCCTGCCCCATCTGCTGACTCATAGCCTCAGGCTCCCCCCTTTACTCCCTCTGGGGGGGGAACCCCACTCTCCCCCCGCCCAGCGCCGCCCACCGACGTAGAGGACGCCCTCCTTGGTCTTCTCGGCCGCCTCGGTGACCCCTTGCTTGGTTTTCTCGGCCGCAGCCACGACGCCCTCCTTGGCCATGGTCAGGCCCTTCATGAACACGTCCATCCTGGCGGCCTGGAGTGGGGAGGGGGGGCGAACACACGCGCGGGTGCGCCGGCTCCGCACCCTCCCGCCCGCCCCTCCCGAGGGACCTGGGGATCCCCAGGCCTGGGGATCCAGACCCCTCCTCCTCCTCCTCCCCCCCCCTGCAGTGAGTCCCGGCGTCCTTGAAAGCCGGGGACGCAGAGGTGGAGGGGGGCCTTGGATCTCTGCAACCCCGCAACCTCCAGACTCCCCCCGCGCACACACACACACACCCCGGGGGCGGCTGGCACGCACGCACACGCATGCACACACGCACACACGCATGCACACGCATGCACACACGCACACACGCATGCACACGCGCGCGCGAGGGTCACACGGCCCCGCACGCCCGCACACCACGGGCACGCTCACGTGCACCCCGTGCCAAGCCCGGACGCGCACGGACACCGTGGGGACCCCCCCGCACCCCGCGGACGCCCGTCACCCCCCCCCGTGCCCTCCTGACCCCCCACCTCCTCCCGATCCCCGGCGC